TGGGATCTGACAAACAGTCAGGCCGTAGCGAACAAAAACTTTTTTTAAAGATACCGTAGCAAACAAAAACTAGGTAACCTGCTCAACAAGGCAAGCCTTCTCATGATCATGACGGGCCGCCTCAGCCTGAAGCCGTGCAAAAGTCTGATTATAAATCGCCCTGGACTGAAGCATAAAAAAGACAAGTTAGGAAGATAAAGATCAGGGCAACAGGCAGGGTTTACGAGAACTACCTGCTCGCAGAGCCTGTGCATCTCACAGAAGACGAACGAAGCCTCGAACTCGGGAACACCCCCCCCCCCCCGAAAGCGGCTAAAGGCTTCTCAAGCGCATCTCTGCTTCCGATGGGCACCCCCGCATCAGAAGGTTCTTCATTCCGGGCATCTTGTTTTCCCTTAGGAGGTGTGATCATTCCCTGAGGAGAATCACTCACCACGATAACACCGACAGGACCAATCAGAGTCGCATCTTGTCCCTGCAGAGCTCCAGAACTGTTTTCCTCTAAACCGCCTACCAAATACATCTCGCCTCGAGGGATATTTTGGCCATCAGCCGACTCGGGAGCATCACCCGACACCCCCTCTATAGCCTCTGCATCCTGAAGTTGGACCGCGACGACATCAAGCTCCAGCTCGGGAGCCATCATCTCTGCGGCATGGGGGTCGATCAGGTTTTCCCCCCTCTCGGACGCCATCGAGAAGTCATTTTCCCCCTCGCTTTCGACTCGGGGACTTCCCGTTGTCTCCAGAATTAGGTCTGCCGTGTCGGCCTTAGCTTCTCCCGCCTTGATCTTCTTGGATTTCGAAAGTTCATTCGACGGATCCCTTTGTCTTTTTTTCCCTTCATCGGGTACCGAAGAACCCTCCTCGCCAAGCGATGCTCCCCTCATCAGGGGGACCTCCCCCAAACCTACACAAACGCAAGAACTGAGCATGAGAAGTGAAAGCGCTATCAGTAGCAATTCAGTTTGAAAGATACGACTGCAACAGGGGTGAAGGCTCACCATGATCCTTATCTTCCCATCAAGCTTGAGACAGATCACGCCACACTCGCTCAGTGTATGGGCAGATCGAGTCCAGCCGGCCAACCCAGCCCGAGAGGTCCGTGACCGCGCCAGGATAAATTGCTGCGGCCGTATTAGTAGAGGGAATTAAGTGCATGGAAGAACATACTTAAAAAGAAGCAAGGGAATGCAAGATAACGTATCTACTTACGTTCCATGTTCCACCTCTCGGGGAATGGCATCCTTTCCACCGGGATCAAATCCGAAGTCCTTACTCGGACAAAGCGGCTCATCCACCCTCCATTCCCGACTTCTTCGATGCAAGCAAAGAGGGCCCTCGAAGCTCGGCAGTGGAGCTTGATCAGACCCTCGCGGGAGAGACGGGGGCTGTACATCCTGATCGGGTGATCGAGAGCAAAGGGCATCTCCTCAATCATGTTCACATAGTACCTGATCATGTAGACAATGCGCTAGAACGAAGGATGAATTTGGCCGAGGGTCACTTGATACCGTTGGCAGAAGTCGAGGATCACGGGATCAATCGGAGGTGAGGATGGTCCCACCGGCCCAAGGGTAAACGGGTAAGTATATACGCTGAGAAAATCGGCTTTGAATATCGTTATATCCTCCTCCCGAGTAGGGATCTCCACAAGCACCGCGTCCCCCCAGCGGCAATCAACTTTCACCCTTCCGACATCTGTTATCGAGCTAATATACTGGGACACAGGCTCGTGGCGCCCCGGCTTCGAAGAAGGTCTCTCGACCCTGAAATCCAAAGCCGTTGCAAAAAATCCTGGAACACACTCCTCTATACGACTGCTTTGCCTTTAGATGGAAGCAAAGAGGAGGAGGTTACATTCTCTTGAGAAGCAGAGGCGGAAATTTTTTCCATTCCTAAAAGATTCCTAAAGAGAAATTGCGTTTCGAGGAAAGAACAGAAGTAAAGAAAGAAGGAAGCTTTTGGGGGCTTGGTAGTGCTGTGAATTGTAAAGAACGAGAAGAGAAGTATTTATAGAGGCCTCACACGCGCGATGGAGGAAGCCAAAGGACAACCAACTGCCATAGTCAATGTGAAGGCTTTTGAGGGTTGTGTATGCGTCGTCTTTTGGCACCTTGTGACTGCCGTTGTTACGGGAGTGCCAGAGGAGCAAGAATTCAAGGTCGTTTCTTATCGCTTTCACTCTAAGAAACACAGGGACTATCTGTATACGATAAAATCGGAGAGTCCAATTTTCCGTCATTATGGTGTCTCGTGAGCATGTTTCACAAGTGCAAGACCAGGGTCGAGGTTCACCCTCGAAGGCTGTCGATGCTCGATCTCGGGGCCGTGCGGACCAATGGTTATGATGGGAAAGTGGGGAGTTCCCAAAGCGCATAACTAGAGCTGACAAAGCCTAGTGAGGCAAAATCAGACCTGAATCGTGACTTCGACTAGCTGTCCCATCTCTATATCTTTGAAATTAACACATTTGTACTACGTTGGGATTTCCCCTCTTATATAAAGGGGGTCTCTGTCATTTTGTAAACACCTGTTGCTCCATCCTAAATACACAAGAACATTCTCTCTGCTCTTTAACATATTCTCCTGAGTTCATTACTCCATTTATTGCTTGCATGCATTGTGTTCTATTCATTGTTCATCATTTATTGCTCATTATTGGCCATAAAGAGCTGCCATTGATCTTATTCCAACTGTTACACGCCCATCGATTACCCCCGATAGCTCCCAGCCGAGCACCCGGCTCGACCCCGAGACCCCCGAATAGGAAAGCTCGAGGCCCCGATTGGCAGTCATTCGGTTTGACTAACATCTTATTTTTTAGCTTTTATCTCGCTTCTAAGTCTTTCACATAGCATCAACTACTTAACAACCGGCATAAAAACAAATCACGTATTTTTAGAATCTCATAATCAAATTTAATTGTTATTACCATTTTCACGGTGAACAATATGGTTACACATTTAAAAAAATGAACTTCATAGCTAAATAGCTTGCAACTAACATAATTTTTTGATAATTTGTCGCTAATTCGTTGCTAGATATTGAAGTGTCTTAATCCTTCCCAAGGTTTTAAATGTGAATATATGCTTAATTTAAAGAGAATCTTATGGGTATGTACCCAAAAAAGACACTATTTACCAATAACTAGCCATTTTAGTTATGCTACAAAAATAGCCAAAAAAAATTACCAATGATATACAACATTCAAAAAATATAGGCAAAGAAGGATTTTTCAATGGGTATTATTACGATTCATTGAAAACACATAGACGAGGCAATATACAAAATTTAACGAAGTTTAAAGGTGAGTTAGACTAGTTTGGAGTCAAAATTCATTATCGTTGATATACAATATTAAAAAAAAATAGGCAAAAAGGATTTCTTTTTTTTCTTTCAATGGGTTAGGTTGGAATTCACTGAAAACACATAGATGAGACATACAAAATTTGAGAAAGATTGGAGGTGATTTTGGCTGATTTGGTATCAAAATTTGTAATTAAAGTCGAGTTTAAAATTCTTCTACTACACATGTATTAAACTTGTATCACGCATGTATCTCACACACAGGTATACATGGATACACATGTGATACATATTTAATACAGAAATAATACACAGTGTGATACACATTATCTTTTTCCATGTTCATCTTCTACTTCGAATTTTCAACTTAAAAGTCCACAAAATCAATCCAAAACTGTGATTCAAACTTTTTAAGATATACCCGATTTATTCCAACAATACCCACTCAAAAGAAAGCAAAATTTTGACCTTTTTAAGGCTACAAATAGCTAATTGGCAGCATTTGGCTAATATTTATAATAATATTTTTTAAATTGACCAATTTTTGTAATAAGTTGCTCATGGACGGATATAACCGATAATTTTCCTAATTTTTAAAATCAAAGTTATTTTTACCTTCTTAACTAATTTTTAAGTACGTCACCAACTTCACTCTCGATAAGTCAATATGGGTGGTGAAGGGGGAAAAAACTCAATGAGGGTAAAAGGATAGATTAAAGACTTGGTTCTTAGGAAATAAGAAGAGTATCACACATTCATATATTGTTTTGTATGTGTGGTACGTGAATCTATTCTCTTGAAAGGAATTGAAAATTTTCAAGAGACTTAATTCCTATTTATACATGAATATTATATTCAAAATTCATATCCAAATCATCGACAGGAGTTGCCAAACTAGATTCTAAACAAGGTTTTAGAAGTTTTTATGTAAATTAAATCATAAAACATGATTTTTAGTGATAATATAATCTCATCTCAATCGACAGGAGTTGCCAAACTAAATATAGTAAACAAGGTTTAGAAATTTGTGTGTAAAATAATTCACAAAAACATGCTTTTTACGATAACATAATCTCATTTCAATTTGTATAATTGTCAACTCAGCAATATCCTCTAGAATAAATTTGCATATGTTTACTAAAGTCTGAGATGAGATAGTTAACAGGAATTGGTGGCCCTCTCTAAATCATTTTATATGTTCTGTCAGTGAATATTTTGTTTTCTTCAAACAGCAGAAGAATAAAAAATAACATTATCTTTTGGCTTATTAAGACGGGGAAAATTTAATGATATCATAATGGCAAAATATTTCTATTTTGTTTCTTCGTCCAGTTTCCGGCATTGGCGTAATGATTCATTCGCTGTTGGCAATAATAAATACTCAGTTGATAAACTAGAGATTCTAGCACTCCTGTTGGCATCCTAACACATCACATTTTGACTTCATCAGTTCAGGAATCTTCCATCATACTCTATTTGTTTTTTTTTTTAATTATCTGATATTTGAAATTCACTAACTAAATTAATCCAAATTTGTATCGTATCGAACCTATTAAGGGTAAGCGCTTCTTATCTAGGATTTTTCACTCTTTAGGATTCAAACTTACTGAATTAGTCCAGAAACACTTCTTATCCGGAATTTTTCACTCTTCAACATTTGAACTCGAAAACTCTCATTAAGGATGAAAGAAATCCATCCTTCTTTGTTGTTAAAGAATCTTCCATCATACTCATTTCTATTGTGTCTTCCTAGCATCTCACTGCTGACTATCTTCCTTCTCTTTTAAGCCACTGTCATCTCATCCGCACCTTTTCCTCTATATAATTCACTGGGAGATAATGCTCTTGCTAATCCAACAACCTGAGTCGTTGGCTCAAAAAGCAGTGCGTAGCTAGGCTAGATATATGGGCAAATCATTAAATTGTTTCAAAGGTCTCCTTGGGCTCAAGAAACGTCCTGATCACTCTCCATCTTCTTCTCCGTTATCCGGAAACACAAATCCATATCCCACACAAACCATTAAACCGACAAAGAAAAAATGGAGCTTCATCAAATCCTACAGATCAGAAAAGGACTACTACCAACACCATTACGACCACCAACCTCTCAATGCTGCTCATATATCCTACCACGGTACTCTGCCAACGTCTTTTCACGGTGGACATGATGTTGGTCTTGACCCAACCAAGCACGCGATTGCAATAGCAGAGGCTACTGCTGTCGCTGCAGAGGCTGCTATTGCTGCTGCTCAGGCAGCAGCAGCAGTTGCAAAGCTGACAACTAGTGGGAGGTTCATGACCACTACCTCCTCTATGACCTGCGTGAGCAGAACCGGTGCAGCTTCTAGGAATCGTGAAGAGTGGGCCGCTATATTAATACAGTCGCATTTCCGAGCTTATCTGGTTAGTATAATGTTGTATAGCATCTTTCAGAAATATTTCATGTATCACTAACGACAACAATTACTACTATGCCTCAGTCCCTCAACTACTACTACTATACCTAAGTTCCAAACAAGTTGAGGCCAATTATACGATGAAAGACAATTTATAATCACTAAACTTAATTCATTATAGCATTTAAGTTAGTTTAAAAATTATTTTTTCATATTAAACTAAATTATTTTTTACGAATAATAATTTTGTGACTTTATTGTTGTTTATGACAAATCAACTTATTCATTTTAGCAAGAAATGTACCATTTGACTGCCAAAGATAATCACTATTGATCATGCTATTAGTTTACTAGTACTACTAACTTTTTTCATGGGGGTAATTTGAAGGCAAGGAGAGCTTTACGAGCATTAAAGGGACTGGCGAAGCTTCAGGCAGTGGTAAGAGGTCATATTGTGAGGAAGCAAACTGCTGATACGCTAAGGCGTACGCGAGCACTCGTAAATCTTGTAAGCAAATCTCACTTTTCCTCCATTTTATTCAATTCTGAAGAGGATTTCCTCTCACTTTTAGTATGCCACAAAATTCTTTCTCTATTTCTTAAACTCCCAGCCCAGTACACTGCCGCATAAAATGAAATAGAGAGAGTAATAGAAATTGGTAATAACGGAAGTAAAATATAGTGTTAAGATCTTGTCCTGGCTAGGTGCGTTTGTATCTGAGTTTCCTCTTCACATTGTAGAGGTCAACAACTTTACCTAGGGCTAGTGATCAAATATATATTTCAATTTGCAGGATCCTGCAACTCCAGAAAAACTTGAGCATGCTGTTCGTCACAGGAACATGAAGCATGTCGAGACGTTCATGCTCAAGGTATTGGCTGGATGTTTTATGCTTAAGAAATGCAGTAAATATTTATAATAAGTTGTACCTAATGCTGCAGAAGCAAGCACCAAAATCGAACATCAAGGCAACTGGCACAGAAGAAGTATATATGATTCATACAGACTGCAGCAGGATAGATGCTAGATCTAGGAAACACGGTGGATCTACTGCAAAAACTACATCAATAGATGATGATAAAAGTGACAAGATCGTCAAAATAGATATTGAGAAACCATATGTCAACCCCAGGAATTTCTTCCAATCCTCTCATATAAACTTGAAATCAGAGCAATACAGTTACAGCTTACCTGCATCTAAGGACGCAACAGCCCGTCAAACAGTTACTACTCCATCTTCATGTGGCAGTCAATCGCTGAGCCTCCTGAAATTGAATCAAGATGCTGATGAGGAAGCCTCTTTCTGCACAGCTGATAATAACCCAAAATTTTCCTCAGCTTCATCTCAATGTGGTAGCTCAAGGAGAAGACTATTTACTACAACTAAGAGTAATGCTTCAAGAAATTGCTCGAATGGTTACCAGGGTCATCCCAACTACATGTCTTACACCGAATCAGCAAAGGCTAAGCTGCGGTCAATGAGTGAACCAAAACAGAGGCCTCGCTATGAAAGATCAAGCACAATGAAGAGGTACTCAGTTAATGTAGACAGCGAGTCAAGAAAGGTTTCTGCCTTTCATCCCAACTTCACCAATAAAGCCTATCCATCTTCTGTTAGGGACAGATCTGCATTCAGTGGTGGTCTTTTGCATAGATATTGAGCAAATTAATGTTTTTATCAATTTAATTGTGCTAACACATGGTTCAAGTTTAGAATATCCAATGTCCTAGAGAGGTCCTTTCGTCTTTGTTGTAATACCAAACTAATGTAAACAATTTGTCCTTTACTAATTTAACTTTAGAGGATGCAATCTCTTAGTGAACTAATTATCGGTGTTTGATAATGAGAACTGATTAATCTTATTATTATTATTTGATAAAGGAGAACTCATTAATCTTATAACTTGTATCAGCCGGTAATATACTCAAATTGTAGATTAATTACTAACAGCAGCCTAGGAGATCTTATCATAGGTAAACAAAATTGATCTTCCCACCCCTACACTGGGCTAATTGAGTTAAGAGTTCAAGTGTGACAAGATCTTTTTTCTTTTCCTTTTTTCCTTCAAAAGAGCCCCATATTATGGGGATGGGGAGGTTAGCAAAAGACTAGCATAACAATTCTCCAATTGTTCCTTCGTGGAGTAAAAAAGTTCCTTCTAAATTCATAGGATGTAATTTTTCATACTTTGGCAAGCAGTTATCACCTAGTAATAATAACTTTGCAATTAGATCTTCCAACACTCAGCATAGCTGCTTGAGATTTCTAAGAAAAGCTAAAAGAAGACAAAAGATTAACCATCAGCGCAGTTGACTAACAACTCAGTGCCTGTTTCATCATGTTGCCTTAGCCGTTTCTCGAACCAATGCGAATTTTGCCAGTAGACCACATAGCTGGAGATATGAACCAACCCCGTCACAGATCCTCATGTGGGCAAAACCAGTTTCCTGTGATCCCAGCAGAAAAGAAATAAATGGTGTTGATCAAAGATGCCTTATAAAGAACATTTATTGAGCAATTACCAAAATCAACCTTCATGAACTCCAGTTTCAGATATTCAGCCATGTCATAGTTCTTAATAATTCGGAAAAGGGTAGTGATTATGTCAGTGGGAGAATAGCCCAGGTCATATAGGGCCTTTAATCCAGCACAAGCATCATCAAACTTCCCTTCAAGAACATTCCGCACCACATTCTTCACATGCAATGGATGGGGCTGGTCACATACCTAGAATCCAACCAATATAGACAAACTAAAACATCAGGTGAATCTGTCAAACATGAGTGATGAAGAGAGTGATATGTGAGCCTAAAACCTTGAAAACATTCTCTTGGTTGACAAAACCAAATCCACTGTGAGTTGCTTGTACATTATTTAAAGCCTGTCTCATATCTCCATCAGCAGTAAATATGATAGCTTCAAGACCTTCAGGTATGTAAGGAACCTGCGAGAGTTGCCACACCATATTATCCTCCCTTTCTACCAATGATGTGCTTATGAACAATTGAACAAAAACAAAGATGATCATGTATTGGTATAATTAGAAACAAGGCACATTTCACACCTTACCGATATGTTAAGAGTTCCTAACACAATCTTGCTTAGGAACTTATTTAAGATTAAAAATGGAACTTTGAACTGCTCCACACAAAAGAATCTAATTAGCAGAAAAGAGGCATACTTCAGGAAAAATATAGTGCATGCTCAAGGCAGACTCAACAGAATCACAATGATTAAACCGACGACTGTGTCTTTGCTAAATGAAGATAAAATCAAGCGGCACGCAATGCTAATTCTTTTATTTTCTTCTTCCTTGTATCTTCTAATTTGATACTTCAGTAAAATTACACACTTTATTTTTTAAAGGAAACATTTTTGTAATCTAACTCATTATAGAAGATCCTCAAATGAAAAGACCAGACAAAGGTATAGGAGGTCAACCTTTGGATACACTTGTTTTTTTTTAGTAGCTTTATGCACATCAAAATTGGTGAATGTGGTATCTTCAGTTAGGCTTCCAAGTTAGCGGCTAAATGGATGACATGGCTCTGGAATCAATAGCTCCAGAGATGATTTAGAAAGCGGAAATCTCTTGGAAACCATTGATCTGTGATGGGAAATGGCATGGAGAAAGGCTTACTAATAGCTGACAATCATAAACCGCTTTTTTTTGGGTCACAAAAAAAGCTCCTTTAAATACATTTGGTTTTCATATAAATTCATGGTACACTAATACAAGGGCATTAGATTTAGTACGCAACTGGTTTTTCAGTTGGCTGCAACCAATTAAGTCTACTAATGGGATAGAAATATTTGCAGACAAATTGTTGATTTGACATAAAGCTCAGAGAAAGCTACTGCAAGCAGCTTCAAGAGGAACCAGACAAGAAAATAGCTTCTGTGACAAGGATTAAGATTCTTAGTACCTTCTCTGCTGCAACCACAGCCATAAGGCGTCCAAGGATCTCTTGGTCAGATAATCTTGCAAATCGGACAAGGGCACATCTACTCTGGATAGGCTCAATAATTTTAGAAGATGTGTTGCAAGCAAGAGCAAAGCGAGTAGAATTTGAATATATTTCCATTGTCCTCCTTAAAGCTTGCTGAGCTCCAGATGTCATGCTAAAAATTTATTCAACATGGAAATAAGATTCCCATACTCCAACAGTAGAATAAAATATAACCGAATTCTCTATGCCAAATGCAGGTAGACAGTAGAGACCAATAAACAGATAGTGCGGCCACCACAGAAAATCAATCAAAATGAAAAAGAAAGAGCAAGACATTGAGAAGTAACATGTTCTTTCATATGAACTTAACCTCTAAAAACAATGCTTAACATCTTTATAATAATGTCCAACCTGTCGGCTTCATCCAAAATAATTATTTTGTGCCGCCCTGGGGGGTAGAGTAACTTTCTTCTGAGCAAACATCTTGATTTTGTTTCTGACAACATCAATGCCCCTGCACAAGAACCATAAAATGTTCTAAGCATTCTATAGAAGCAAGAAAAAACCACATGAAAAGTAGAGCTTTTAAGCTAAAAAGGGTTAAGATACCTATCATCTGATGCATTTAGCTCTAAAACAGCCTCTTTATAGTTTGGTCCCAAAAGTTCATGAGCAAGAGCAAGGATACTTGTTGTTTTTCCGGTACCCGGGGGACCCTGCAGAAAAGTAGCCAGTATGAATAAACTATGCATTATAGAGAAGTAACTGTTCTTCTCTTACATAGATTAGAATGAAGAACATATGGCAAGTATAAATTTACAATATTATGCTTACAATATCAAATCTTCTTATAATATTAAATGTGAAGACGTGGCCTAGAAGAGCACTGCAGGAAATTCATAGCAAAATAACATCCAATAAAGTCATCTTAATACCTTATGCAAATTTTAAAATGTGCTTAAAGAACCAAGTTTTGAATTAAGCTCCAACCACTGTTGTGAGCAACATGCTTCTTTATATCATTAAAGGAAAATACATTAATGGCAAAAACAACACAAAGAAAGTGCTGGAATGTCGTGAGCAGCATGCTTTCTGTCAAATTAATAAACAACACCAAAAGGAGAACACTTTGGGTATGGAACTCATAAAAAGCACCTGCATTTGAGAGAGTAAAATAGTCGCTTTCTTCTTACACCTATGTGATCAGTCAACATTTTGACAACAACAACAACATACCCAGTAAAATCCCACTAGTGGGGAAACATATTGACAACAGCCAAACAATATTGTTCATGGATCCCATTCATTGATGTAGTTAATGCGCTTTACTAGTCATGGGCTAATTTTTGAATAACACTAAGTACATATAATGCTGTTTCCGTAGAAACAGAGAGATAATTTGCAAATTAATACAGAAAAATGGAAACGGAATAAACTTCTTTTCTTGATACGATGAAGCACTATAATCATTTTCCATGTCACAGGAAAAAACTTAGAATGGGATGATCGACATGAGAGTTAACCTGTTACTACTCAAATCATACATAAACTAGGTGGAACGAATAGATTAATGAAAATTGAGTATGCATTTCTAATACCTACAGAAAGAAATGTGGATCTTCTTATTAAATTTTTTACTTTAATTTGGATAAATATAGGAATTTGGCATACTGCTTTCGAATGATCTCTCATAAAAGTTTTATTAGCAATTACAAACAAAGAACCCTTGTACAATTGGTCCATCATACTCAGTGGCGGACCCACCTTAAGAAATCAGGGGTGATAAGCTGCACCCCTTAAAATTAGGTAAATTACATTTAAAACAGTATGTATCTCCGCATCTGTTGAACAGAGTTATCGAAGTAAACACATACTCTAATAGATTACAAGGTGCTCAAAGCTGTTAGTAAATAGATATTGCTTACAGCTAAGATAAGATTGGGCATGTTGCCATCGCGTGCAACGACTTGGAGCCTAGCAACGGCATCTTCATTGCCCACGATGTCTGCTACCTTGTTCGGCCGGTACTTCTCTACCCATGGGATTTCTGGACCAGTTGATGTCAACGAAGAAGATGATGCCATTCCACAAGAATTCAATTGCAGAACCCTCCCAAAACCTTCCCGCGACTTCTTCAAGCTGGAGGGAAATAGCTACTGTACTTATTCTTTGGGAATGACCAAAATAGTCCCTTATGTTTAGGAATATCTAGAATGATCTTTTAACTATATGCATGAGTAGTTTTAGTCCCTTATGTTTAGTAACAATGAGCACTTTTGGTCTCTCTTATTAAAACACCTGGTAATATTATATTTGACGAAATTGGGACATGAGAAGCATATAAGCCATTTAAACTAAATAAACCTTCAAGATGTTACCCAATTCAAACCGTAAAAGAAATCTTATTTAAGACAGTTGAATACACCTTTCACTCTTCCAACCCTCAAACTTCTAATTCGTAATTTTGAGAAATAACAAGGATTCTGTTCTTTCCAATGATACTTGAAGGATGTAATTTAAAGAGTTAATAACTTAAAATCCCCCTAAACTATCATATTCTTGTCAGTTTCTACTTAAACTATACGGTGTCCCCAAAACCCCCCCTGAACTATATTGTCCTTCATATTAAAAATCCCTCATTGCATTCTTGGTGGTACGTGTAGTACACGCTCCTAATTATTTAGAAAACGTGTCATGTAGCACTACACGTGGATATTCAACTCGGCCTAAAACCCGGCTATACTATCACTTTTTTGTCAGTTACCTACTTAAACTATCTGGTGTCCCCAAACCCCCCTGAACTATATTCCCCAATATATTAAAACTTCATTCTGAACTTTTAAAGGTGTGTCTGTCTAACTATATTAACTTATGGTTTG